ACAATTATATATCAGAAAGCCAATGATAAATTTTCGATGGGGAAGGGGGAGCTTCTCTTCATCATGCTATCGTAAATATTGGACTCAAGTGCTAAATATCCCGTGTGCAAATATTGTAAATGACCAGTCAGTTAACTAATTTCGGACAAAAATGACTTACTTTGATTGACATTTCAGTACATCGTGTAGTGTAAGTCTATCAAAGTTAATGGAAATCGTTTAAAGTTACAAGTCAAAATAAATTGCTTATTTTGGGACAATGTGATTTTGTTTATACAAAAACATAAATTCAATCAACTACAGTCAATTAAATCTAAATTCAGTCAGTCATTTTTTTCCACACGGGATTTCTGCTGCTGCGGAAAAGGTTGCGCTAATGGTGTGTGTGTGTGTGTGTGCACTGTGCATTGCTACTTGCATTGAATGCATGAAGAATGGATATGCCTTAAATCTTGTTAAAAAGTTTTTCGCCAGCGTCTTTCTTGCTGAAAATAAAGTAATTCATTCTTGAGATTTCATTAGAAAAGTGCTGCGTTGCAACAGCAGTGGAATGTATACGGTTTGCGAACATTGCACGCAGTAAATAACATTATACGGTGTTTTTGCTTGAAAAATTAAATTATGTGATCGCCCGCATCCATTTTCGTATAAAAGAAACATCTGTTCAAACAAAATATTTGTTGCCATAGTCCATAGACAGACAGTGGCAGTACATTTTGTGGTCAAACCGAAAACCAAAAATATGCTGTGGCCAGCGGGATGCATTGAAATTTGTGGCACTTTATCTAATAAAATAGCATCATGGCATTTATCGAATCAGATACAAGGTAAACACGAACACACTATGTGTTATTTTTGTTGATATGTATATACGTATTCATATTTATGATGGACATTTATGATTGAATCGGGACTCATTCTATTAAGATGTTCGCTAAATTGGATGAAAACGACCGACGAAGGACGTCATCCCTTTTCATTGCATCGAACACAATTTAATGTGTGCGTGTGTGTGTGTGTGTATACATAGTCATGCCATCGTGTTGAGTGGCTACAACAAGATTTGTTTGTATCATTATGATGATGATGGCGCATGTGATTCGTTATGATATTATCATTAAAACATATGCATGAGTGAATAGCTGCGATAATACACTGAAGTAGAAGCACATTTACTCTGTCTCACTCTTTCTCTTCAGTCATACCACCCTGATTGGCTGCCATGCACTAAATACATAAAAAGTCGCATAAATATTTTATTATTTCGTTAAATTACATTAATTCTCAATGTGTTCCAGTTAAATTTGCCTCGTTTTTGTTTTTATTGATCTTAAAATGCTAAACGCACTGAAGGTTTCTTCTTTTCTCATTATTTTTGTTAACTTCACTCTGCCCATGACATTTAATGATGGCAACTTAGCCTTGCTTTAGAAGAAAGCGCTTCTCAATAACTTTGTACCGAGTTGACTTCGATACGATAAAATTATGGGTTCAAATGCTATTCAAGCCATTTTATTTCGATGTTTATTTGACTAAATTTGAAACAGAGAAAGGGACGGAGAGCGAGAGAGAGAAACAAATAAAATGAAGAAATCCATAAGCAACGAATTTCGCCATTACTAAAGTGTCATAAAGAAAATTTAGCCAAACAAATGCTTCTTTTGTGATAAATTGAAAGCATCCGAATTGATGTTGTGTAATAAGTTTAAATGACTTTCATCATTCGTCCAGTTTCCGACATCAAAGTGAATCAAAATTGTTCTGCAAATTGGTTTCGAGTAAATGTGTCTTTCAATTCATCATTTCAAAACAGTTGCCATAATTGTTTGTCAACAGTTCAGCATCGTTCCCTCTCCCTCTATGTCCATTTGTGTGTGATTCGGCTTGTCTTCGCTTTGATAATTCGTAGACGACTGTAGTGGATGTTTTCGAAACGCAACTGTTGGAATTCTCAGTGGAGCATGACTCGTTTTGGGGCTGCGCCTCAAGTGAAACTGAACTGGATTATCAATATTGCGCGTATTTACAAAACATTTAACTGTCGTATTGATTTGCCGTTTCGTCTCCCTTATCCATCTGCTGCGATAGAAATGGAACCATAAAAAATATAAAATAACAAACTTTTGACACACACACACACAATCGCAGACACCAAAACAAAAGCATAGCAAAGCAAAGCGAATCGAAATGCGTTCGCGAAACTTACTAATTAGGTTGAAGTATAAGTCACATATCAAATTGGAAATTGGCTGGCAGCGGCTGGAGATGCATAATGAAATTTGTCTGGTAATATTTTTCTCTCGTTAACAAATGTCTGCCAGCAATGGAGCTACCACAAAGTTTCTCTCTCTCTTTTTTTGCTTTGGCTTGCGGTTTGTTGCTATCATTTTAGACGGATTTTTGTTGTTGTTGCTCAAACAGCACCTGAAAAGTGGGTGACTTGATATCTTCTTACACAGAAAAGTGACGAACTGCGTTCTGAAGAAAACCGGTAATTAAATTTACACATAACCTTAGCCATGATAAATACAATTAGCTTTAATTATGAATTTCCATCATCCACCAATGTAACCTGGTTTATTCATTGTGGGATGTGGGTTGTTGATGCCATAGATTTTCCATATGACGACTGAGGATGCACCGAAACTGGTACAAGAAAAAAAAACTCCATACAATCGCACAAGTTCATGAAAGCCGCAATTATGAATAGTGTAATTTGGAGAAATTCGGTTCAATGTTAATAATTTCGTGGTGAATCGTTTCATCATGTTAACAACATTATGATTATTTTCATCAAGGATATTGAATTGTACTCTTGAAGTGAAGCAGACGTGTTTTCTTTGTACATTTAATTCTTTTTATGTGTGTCATCACGCATTTTGGTGGATTCATTTTTCAATATGATAAACAAACCAGCCAGTTTTTCCACATTTTATAATATGCATAATATGCATTGCATATCAACAAATTTATGCTGGAAAACCTCAAGAAAAACCAATTAGTTTGAAAAGGAGATAGATATAAGAAATTAAATATTCGAAAATGAGTTCGAACTTCGAAATGATGATTTTCTAAATGATATCGGAAGTTTTTTTTTTCGAAAACGGGTTCGAATTTCAGAAATCCATTTTTCAAAATTACACGAAGAAATTAAATATTCGAAAATGAGTTCGAACTTCGAAATGATGATTTTCTAAATGATATCGAAAGTTTTTTTTTTCGAAAACGGGTTCGAATTTCAGAAATCCATTTTTCAAAATTGCGCATTATGTTCTCTCTAAAATTGCAGAAGTTTTGTTGATTCACGTCAAAAAACAACAGTTTTAACTTGTTGACTTTTATCAACTCCCATGAATTCAGGCAAAAGACATTTTGAAACTCAATCCATTTCTTGAAAATATTGTTGGTGATGATGTTGAATTGAAGCCGCAATGCTGATGAACTGTCATCCTTGTGCTCATTTTCAATGGGATAAACAAAGAGTGAGCTGTGTTTCACACATCCCACAAAGTTTTGCTCTTTGTTTTAACAATTTCAGAATTTGACATTCAATTTTCAGAGTTGCTTCAATATATAATAACCAAAGTTATTATGCAAACATTGAAGCATGTACATTCATTGTACATGCGATTCCACCGATCAAAATTATATTGAAAAAGTACATGTAAGAAAACGCCAGAAACCCCATACAAAGTGCTATGTATTTCTATTGAAATGTTTGACACAAACTAAATTTGTACGCAATTCTGTTGTGACAGAGAGATTACCTAGACATGTCTTATGCCATTCAGGCAACAGCAGCTATTTCAATTTGAATAATAGAAGAATGGGGTTTCGCTAGACAAATTAAAGAGTAATATTGCAAAAATTCAACGATTGAGCTGCATTCGATATGGTCTGATTTATTTTTGAGCTTTGTCCACGCAAAAAGCTGAACTGAAACCCCATATTTTCGTTTGAAATTTCAGTTTTAAATTGAATTTCCACCGCAACCGTCCTTCGGTTGTATTCAGAAACCTTTCGGTGCAATAGCTCAATCAATTTGTTTGTTCACCGAGTGTAATTGATACAAATGGTAAGCTGATGCTAATGCAATTATTTTTGCCCTGCACCAAGCATCAACAAAGGTATTTTTTTCGGCAAATTGTATTTGCTTCGAGGAATTGATGTCATTTTGAAATGGTTCATTTCAATATTGTCTTGGAGTTTTCCTTTTTGTGTTCGATGTCAAAAAGGGATCTGAGAATCGTTCATATTCTACCATAATTGAGAATGATATGTAAATACACGACCATTTCATCATCTTCAATTGGCAGCTAATGTTGACAATGTTTTTTGCAAATTTAGCTTTGTTCTTGGAATTTGAACCGAGGCATTGACATTACAAATGCTTTGGCTGGTCTTTGAGCTGAGGCGCGTTCCCGTGGTAGCAGACATTTGATATGATAATAGCAACAGATTGAATCACATTAATCAAACGCATCAATTCATTGTACCGTTTTTTTGTTGTTGTTGATGATAAACGAAAGAGAGAAAAAATGCATCAATGCTCATTGTCATCATCGAAAGCCATGAATTTCAATGCAAAGTGCAAATTGGTTTATCTCATGTCAACGCTTGACAACTTTTTGAGTACTTGCTACGCAGTTGAGTGTTTTCATTGCTCTTAAAAAAACACCAGCATATGTTTTGTCGGTTCCACGTGTCTAACGTCATATGATACTGAAAAACGGAGGGAAAATACAAAACAGTTGAATGAATGGAATTTCTTTCCCCCAGTTTGAAAACCATTCTTTGTCGTCACAGAATCTCATTCTCACTCAGTTTACAATCATGCAACGCAAGGAGATAACAAAGTGGAAATGTTCAAATATCGAAAAAAAATAAAGAGATTGATTACATATATAAACATCGACATTATGTTGTCAAATTATTCTTCATTTTCTCAAACATGTTTATTCAATCGTTAATTGACATTTCGTGTAATCCAATATCTGGGATGGTACGTAGAAAATTACATGTAATATTCTACATGTAAAAAATGTAGAAAATTCGATGTATAATACACGGAAAATGTCATGTAAATTACATGTATTTGTAGAAAATTATTTTCAACAAGAATGAATATAAACTGCACTCAATTTCCGGTTATATATGAAAAAATATGACTTTATTTTTGAAAACTCAATGAAAATGACATGTAAAATATGAAGTGGAAATGAATTTTGCCTATTTCTAAATAGTACATTTAATTGTCGATCTTTATTGTTGAGATTCAATTTATTTGATTTCTTTCCTTTGTGGAATGAAAATGTATTTGCATTTAAGTGACGATTTTAGTCAGACATTTCGGAGCCAGATTCGGATTCGTTGTCGCTGAAGTTGCCAATGTCGTCGTTGTCCATATCGGGTAATTCATCCGTTGATCTTAGTGTGAAATACATGTTCACCAGCTTTTTTGAAGTTTCATCCGATAATCTATTTCTGATATCGTTGTGTACATAAGCCCAATTCGAGAATAGACGTTCCAATTGAGCGGTTGATGCAGGAATTTTTAAGTAATCTCTAGCGAATTCAGCTAGCTTTCGATGACCAAGTTCAGAGGCGTAATGCCAGAATGTAAGCGGTAACAGACCTCTTTTGTTGACCAAATTAGCAAACACATCCTCGTTTTTCGTAAATTTACGCAACGATTCGAGTTGATCGCTATCGAGCTTTTCGAGAAGGTATGCATTTACTTCTGTCAACTGATGTTCGCTAAGCCGTTTACCTCTATACGTTGGATGCAAGTAGTTGGCTGTCATTGTTACTGTGTTGAGAACGTTGCTCTGCTTGATGCGGTATTTTAGGAATGGTTGCAAATCTTCAGGGCCATCGGTTAGCAATTGAAGCCATTTTTCAGCTGCATCAGCAGATGAAGCGGAACTTTTCTGGCAGAAGTTTGTCAGTTCAGCCACTGGGTTCAGGATTGTAAGTAGATTTCGGACTGATGCGGAAAATCCTTCGTTGAATAGGAGTGAAACAACTTTACGTTTTGGTTTCTTTGCATCTGGATCCAATTCTGCTTCAGAATCACAAGCAGCGGTTACGGTTTTCATAGCTGACAAATTCTTAAGCATCGAATCGGCTGCACCTCGTTGGCTCGTCCAACGCGTAGTACAAGATAAAATGGGCTTATGACCACCGGCATCTACTAAACGATTGGCCAAGACAGTTCTTCGGAAATCTTTCTGTACTTTCATCACCTTTTTCATGATCTTTTCGTATTCCTTTTTTTGCAAAATGTCACCTGCCAACAAGTTCGCTGAATGAGCGTTGCAAGTCGAATAGAGTATGTCCAGCAAATTGTTAGCATCTCTTCCCATTTTTTGCATACTAAATGCATTGTCGGTGAGAATAGCGTATACAACGGCTCCATATCGTTCATCCGCAAGAACAACCGCCTGTTGAACAGCATCAAGAAGATTGTCTCCTGTTTCTCGGGTCGTTGAAAAGTTGAATGATTCCAAGAAGATCTTCTGATCATTTGAAGATGCAAGCATAGTTGCGACGTAGTGACGATTTGCTGACGAATTTTGCCAACCGTCAACCAAGAGAGTTACTCTTTTATCCATTTTCTCGACCAACTTTTCATTGCGCTTTTCGATCTTTTCGTGAGTTTTATCCAACAACTTTCCAGCCAACAGATGCCGATGAGGTGGGTTGTACGCCGGGCGCAACGCATTTACGAACTTCTTGAAAAACTTTGAGTCCACCACTTGGAATGGTATATTGCAACCGAAAAAAAATTCCGCCAAAAGTGAATCAATATTTTCAGCTTCGATTGGCTTCACTTGATCCATAAAACGCTTCAGTTTTGGCTGCTTTGGTGCCAAGCTTGATGACTGAAATACATAAATGTATTGAAATTATTCGATCTAATTAAATATTAGAAAAAAGACTTAAATTGACTTACATCTTGCGAGCCAGCCGAATAGTTCGTCAAACTTGAGCTTGGTCGCGAATCGTCGCCACTTTCCACGATTGAATGGGTTTCACTTTGCGTAAGGGCTCTTTCCAGTTCAACTTCAACAAGATTTTCAGTACCATCGGAATTCGCGGATTCAGCTAATTCATTTTCCTCGATATTGGCAGAGCCACACGTTTGACTGTATATAAATTATGAAAAAAAATTAAAAATCTGTAAAATAGCAGGAATTTTGCATATTACCGATGCTTCATCAAGCGGTCTTTTGCCGTGTTCGTCTTCAATTGCATGCAATTCATGCATTTTGCCACCATCTTTCCTCTGTGAGGCACTTTTTTGTAACCAAACCATTGGTCATGCAATGGCCGTCCAACACTTGCTGATGGTGATGATTCCGCTGAATCGCTCTTTCCACTTTGCGACATCAATTTATCAAATGCATTAGACATTTTCACTATATTTGTAATTCAAAGTTATGTGACGAAAATTGAAGTTATGAATTTTAAAACCACGTTTTGACAATCGCGAATGACTCAACCTCTATGCGCTGTATGTAAATGTCATTCGCGTACACTGCTAATCTATTTCGCTTATGTTATATATGTTGCTCGCATTATAGCGGTTCGCCGATTCATGCACATATACACTGACAAATAAGCAAACATGGGAGAATACAGTTAGAGTGACTGTGAAGGCGGCTTGCTATATTCATTTCGCTTCTTTGCTTTCCCGTTCTTTCTTAGTTTATATTTGTATTTGTTTTTTTATTGTTTGTTGCATGAACGTATTAATTTGAACTGAAGAGCGTATGTGTGTATTATATGATGTATACTAGTACAATGGAACTTAAAACAGTGTAAAAAGTCATTGTATCACTGAATATATGTACATTTTGAATCGTTTATGAATTTTTTACATTTTCTACATTTGCGACAGTAGAAAATGTAAAATATACATTTTCTACGTAAAATACATAAACAAACCAAAAAGTCGCAAAATTTACCATCCCAGTCCAATATCATTCCAATTTCGGTGTCAACAATTTGAAAATTTCCTTTGTAACATAAATTTGATGTAGATTTTACAAAGAGTGCATATTTGCTGCTGGGCAGGTCGGAGATAAGCTGAATTTATTGACTCAGGTGCCTAAAGTGGTATTTTAACGCACTTACAGCACCAAATTGTCATTGCTAGCTTAGATCCCGAGTCAATAAATTCAGCTTAGCTCAGTCCTGCTCAGCAGAAAATGTGCACTCTCTGAGATTTTATGAACAAATATAGTTTCAATTGCATGTGATTGCAATTTCCTCGGATGAAACGCTTTCATCAGAACTGCACAATTTTATAATTAGGGAAAAAAGCCACATTTATTTGAGTGTATTGAGTGAATTTTTTTGCACCCAACGTCGTTCGTCATTTCATCTCGGAAATTATGAACAATTTTCAATTTCATTACATATTTTTTTCAATTTTTTGAGCTCTGAAAGTTGTACATTGAAAAGCTTTTATATTGAAAAGAAAAGGTCAGGCTGCCTGGTGACATTTACACTTTTATGAACAAAACTAATATATGTTCGTTTACACACCTAAAAAAGAAACAAAATACTTACTTTGATAAAGAGTCTAGTACATAAAAACTATGTATGTAATTGAATGAAATTGGCTTTTTAAGAGCATAAAATTTTAATCCATCCTTTGACAAATTTAATCAAGGCAAATAAGAAATATTTGATGTAACGTATATTATCAAATCAGGATGTTTAGCTTACCTTAGCCAAATGTACAGTTTTTAAATTTCTGCTGCGATGCAGATCATATATATCATGAATTGCAAGACCAATGAAAAATGCATCTTGCTATGCTTGCTAGGTAAACATGATGGAAAAGTTTTATTCTCTCGTCTGTCATATATCGCACGGTGTTCAGACACATCGCTGCCAATACCATAAAAGGCAAGGTATTGGCACAGGCCGAGCGATGTGTCTGACGTCACTACCAAAACGAAGCGATGCGACGCATCGTCCGGCTAGTTTTAAGTTTAAAATGTATCACTAGAATAAGACACGGCTTGGCCGAATAAACACACACAAAACATTACTCCGCTGCGTTTCATTGCACCTTATTTTGTTTTAGTTCATTTACGCCGTTTTATGGGTTTTTAGGTAAGTAAACATGTTTAGCCCGAACACACGGAATCAACAAATTCTTTTCGTGTCGATAGAAAATACCGTGCATTCACTTTCACTCAAACGAAGAGAAGTTTTGTCTTGAGTGCTGACGAGCGAAACGTGAATCAAACAAGAGGAGAAGTCAATAAATCGACTTGATTTACTTTTTATTCCACCATACTTTCATTGCTCTTATACAAAGAGGTTATTTTACAAAAGAAAGAAAAAAAGAACCGATCCACTTTCAGGAATGCCAATCCGGATTTCCTCCAACAAAATTTATATTGATATATTATATGATAGGAACTCTTTTGAATTTGGTAAAAAGCATTTCCCTATTTGTAGCTATACAAATGAAACTGCATTCATTCCAAACAGGACTTCCTGAATTTTTTCTAGTCAAGGTACGTGCATCTGAATTCTCAACTTAAATTCAATGAAATTTAGTGTTTGGACAAAGATAATTATCTAGATAAGATAAAAGATAAGATAATATCTTTTATCTTATCTAGATTAATTTCAGAAAATCGTCAAAATATCTTATCTTTATCTTATTTTTTACACGTTATCTTATCTTTTTTGAAGATAAATTGAGATAATTCTAAAATTAATCAATTGAAAATTTCAAAGGGAGAGAAAAAATTGCCATTGAATAAAAAACGAAAAAAAATTGCAAGAAGAAACATTCAGAAATTGTAAAAAATATCAGAAAATCAATTTTATTTCGTGCATTTAGAGAATTAACAACGCAAAAAATATCGAAAGAAATATTTGTTGAGAATTTTACGCAATTTTTCTAGTTTTTTCTTTAGAAAAAACATCCAAGAATTATCTCATTTTTTATCTGAAGATAATTTATAAAAGATAAGATAAATATTTTATCTTTATCTAGATTAAAACACAAAAATTAGGTGTTATCTGGTTTTTATCTAGATAAAATTCATTTATCTAAATTAAACACTGATGAAATTCTTCTACTTTGCCCCCATGCAAACTTATTTGTACTAATGAGTTATTTTATATTAAAGTAGAAAAAATGCGATAGTATCTGGTGTGATGCTTCTTGATATTGATGTTCCGTTGGAGTTTAAACCATCCCATAAACAAGTTATTCCGTATCAGTAGGCATTTCGCGTGTTACTATTTTCTGCGAAAAATAATTATTGAATAAATTCATGAATAGCTTCTTAAAATGAAAGACTCCTTACTAACTCTCTTTTTAAACTTTCGATTAGTATTCTTTTTGAAATAGAATTCTTCGAAAGAAACCATGAATGAATCGGAATATTTTAATTTAATGGAATCGGTGTGCGTTTTCAAATGCTCTTCGATGAAAAATAATTCCGATTGGTATTCATGTTTTATGGCTTCCTTCACAGCACTAATTTAAGTAACAAGATAGAAGAATTCGATCGTTACTATGACAAATTGAACGAATAAGTTTCTGAACGAATTCTTCGAAGGCATTTAGGAGAAGGAAGAAAGGAAATACGTGGAAAAAAAGTTTCGAACGAATCAATTCAACTATTTTCAATGGAATTTTATATGAAAAATCTTTTCATTAGTATGGTTTTGTGTACCTCATAATTTCCATCCGTTACTATGGGGTGTTGCGAATTGGGATTTGCAAATCGATACAATAATCATATTTCAGCATTTTTATTCAAACTTTCCGATCAAAACGAAAAAAAAAATATCAAGAAGGGATTCCTATTGAAATGATCGTCCAAGCAAATCGATGGTCATTTATACTGTGTTAGTCTTTTGTATTATAATATTCCATTGTTTTCTAATGGTCTGAGTATGCCCGATCGAATTTCATTGGCAGTTTTAGAAATTGTTATCCATTTTAGTGTGAGAAGAAATTCTAGAGAAAATGCTATCGAAGCCATATCCTCAGGTAACAACAAAATTGCATAGTTTATTTTTAATCAAAGCAAATGGTACTTGACTATCAAGATGATATTGAGTCACTTTTGTGCAGAAGAACAATAAGCCCAACGAAAATGTACCGTTTTCATATTTCTGTTCCTCTCCGAATGGCAACGAACCAACGGCATGGATTTTTCCAGTCGTTTTTTTATGCCTTCTTCATCAGCCTGACTTCTGAATCGCGGCCTCATATTGGTGGCGCGTTTGCGATTTATTTTCGGCCGTTTCAACTACTTTCGCTTCCAATATAATGGAAAAATTTATGTATGTTGCCAACGTCGGTGATAAATGGTAATATGCATGGCTGTAAAATGGCTGAGGCATACGGTGATTCGATTATGCGTTGGTTCGGTTCGGTTCAGTTCTACTTCTTCAATGACTTGGATTGGATTAGATTTTATGTTGTGCGAATGTGAAAGTTGCATCTCCATACGCTATTTTTTACGGCTATTACCAAATCCATAAATCTGGCATATTAAACCCTACAGAGAATATTGCTTCATTGTGAAGACATGATTTATATCTCATTGCCGGGGATAAACATCGCATTCAATTCAGTCTTTTTTTTCTGACTTCGTCCAGACGATCTAGAATCCAATTCAGCTACTATGCACATGCCATTTTGAAATGACATTACCGAAAGCAAAAGAGCGTCGCCATTTACATTATGTTGACATCAATACTATAACGGATGAAGTAGTGCATTGATGGCGTGATTTTCGGCATTTATACGGAATGACAGCTTAAAAGGTATATAGTAAAGGTTAATCCAATCTGCCTTTAAACATATCGCTATTGTCCCACTAACAAATCCCATCAAAGCCCCTTTCATACACACAATTTGCATACACGCGCCATTGTCTCGTAAGCGCCGCGCGGTGATGAACTATAATGGCAAATAAGGGGCGAATCATTCTTATGGTTTCAAGATAAAATCGGTTCAATTTTGGAGGATTTATTGCATAACGCCTTGTCATTGTGTCCATTATGGTATTATAATCGATTCAAGTAAATCGACTGATCGCTCGGCAACGTCAATAGCATTGATATCGTGTTGTTACTTTAAATCATAAGTTAACGTTGATTCTGCTATTGATATCGAGACTATATTACGGACATGACCACGGCCGTTAGATAAAATTATGTGGTGCACGATGTCATTCATCGAAAATGTCATTTTGAAATGTTATACTACAGCCATATGGCCCGTAACGATTAACATGTCTATTGTATAGTCTATCAGAAATTCATAATTTTCCACTTTTATGGTAATCTTCATTCCCATTTAGTGAATGACTTATACAAACCGATGTAAGGACAAACATTCCACTTTGTGTAATTAGTGAAATTGATTGATTTCAGTCAATTTATTTTTGCCTAAATTAAAACACTTGTTGATAATAATCAATGGTACCGATTACCGAGTCAGTTAACAAAACCGTACAGCCACAATAATATTCATTATTATAATGAAGCAATAATACAAAAAATAAATATGTCATGTTCCCTGAAATGTTTGAGTACATATTTGCAAACAACTGAGGCGTGTATCATTTGTATGCATCCGTCAAGCTCGATGACACTCGAAAGTTTTACTACTTAATCAATAATTTACACAAACTTACTTTACCAAAATTGATGTTTTCATTTATAAATTGAGTATTGAGTTCTTATTTCCTTCAAGTCACGCGATATCTATTGAAGTCAACTTTTGTTTTTTTTTTCTTGAGATATCACGAGAAACTTCGTTCTGAATATAGTCAGTTTGCGATGAAAATTTCAAGCAAAACAATATCTAAAGGGTGTTTTTTAAGAGCTTGAGAACTTTTTTTCCAAATAAAACGCACAAATTTCGATATTTTGATCGTACAGCCGAGTTCATTTGATAGATAAATTCATTTAATT